TAAACACATTTACTATCACACAATGTTATGCATACACCTATGGAATATCTACACTTTTTATGTCAAAGCATTATTTTTAAAAGTTAAAAACATCACTCATGCAAATGTAAAGCACATGCTGAATATTTATAAACTCATAGATAAAAAAGCAGTTTAAGAAGCTGGGAATTTACAGACATTTATAAAGGAATGGTAGAATGAGGTTGCTAGGTTACATAAAAACTATTACTGTCCTATAGGGCAAAGAAAGTAGCTACCATTTTGTACCTAGAAGGAAAAAAGTCATCAATTTACCTTGCTGTATCTCAGTGTCTAAACTTGAATCCAATAGGAAATGACTAAGTCAAATATGGAGCATTCTTCTAAATAATTAAACAATCGTGTGGGTTTTTTAAACAATGCCGCCAGTAACTTTGAAAGGTCACGCTCTCCTTTTGCGTATTTACAAGTTGTATATACAACATTTCATAAAAGCACATAGTCCTATGCTGTGGATTCAAGTTAGGAAAAACAAGTTTCTATATTTGAAAGAACATAATGCATTTGTTCAAATGTCTTCCAGAAACAGGAAGAAAATACATTTTTAAAAAGCTATTCTAAACAATGTGTGCAAATAGCAGAAGTTATTCTCAAGAACTGTGCATGTGGAAGCCATGCCTTCAAAGGCTCTGAAAAGCATGTGAAGAAATGATCAGTGGTTAATTCTTTATTATTCAGAAATGTGTAATTACAGATAAACCTTGAATCTGTTACTTGCAAATTATTTTCACTATTTTATAATTTTATATTCAAACCCTAATTTTTATTTGAAGGGAAAATTCCCCTAAAATTTGTTCTGTTAACTGAGTCTTCTGGAAGTGACTTGGTCCTTACATTAAATACTTTTGAATGATTTTGGTTTTTTTCCCAAATCAACTCAAAGGAAAAATCAGACTTCTTGAGCTCCAATGCTCTCCCTAGAACACCCTTCCACACCTGGAGCATCATCAATAATGTGTCCTTAGGGTCATTTTGCTTGTTTTTGCTTAGTTTTCCAATTGTAAAAGTTTCTGGCTCTATCCTTGCCTGGCACATGATGGTGTTAGCCACATGGGATGTGTAAGTTTTCAGGAAAGCTGTTATTGTTTACACTAAGTTTCCAAAAGAATTCTGACCTCAGCATTTCTGGGAAGTGTATTTAAATATTAAAGGCACTAGTCTGTTTACTAGTTTGTTGAAGGTTCTTTCCAAAAAGGTCAAGCTCTGGTGCCTACTAACACACTTGTCCCTGTTCTGTGTTCATTCCCTCAATAAGATTCACATCAGGGTATGGGTTCACCTGTTCCATGTCTTTTGTCTGGCCCCCTCTTGCACCAGATGATTAACTCAGAAGATGGGACTCACTCATACTAAGCATACTATTGAGGCTAAGTCAAAACCATTTAAAACAACAGCAGGATTTCAGTCAATATTAGCCGAATTAGCAAAATTTTCTTTAGAGGCTATTTTGAGCCTCTTATCTATCACACATGACACAATATTTGAGATTAAATGTGCTCACTTAGCACTAAAAAATGCTGATGATAGGAAATAAAAAAAGAATCATTGCCCAAGAAATAAGATTTCAGAAAAATCTTTGAGAAGAGATACATGACAAATGCACTAAGAGACATTTAGTTAATAAATGCTCTTGATTTTATACATCTTAGCAACTGTAGCATGATGTCCAATTCCTCCAGTTTACTTGCAGATATTTTTACACCAAACAAGGCTAAGTATGCGATTAGGTCAGGATAATCTATGCACTATTAGTGTCTCACTTTTGCATCTAGATATATTGAAACATACACTGTATATGATATTTATATTTTAAAAGGATAATATTGGGTGATAATTTCTATACATAATTATATTAACACACTTTTATTTTTACACACAAGGTACCTAAAATGCCAAGGAAGAAAGCATTCGAATCTGTTCCAAATCTTGAAGTTAAAATGCAAAATCTTCCTGACTTAAAAATTTCCACTGATTAAAATGATTGTATCAAAATATGTGTAACTGAGATGTCAAATGTCTCTGGGAAATCCTGTTTCTTAAGGGGATGTCTAAAGGCAGTACCACACTGAGGCTGACCCTCAGGTGGTAGATTTACTACTGAGGGTCACTGTAAACAGAGCAAATGTGTCACTGAGTATTGGGGAGAAGTGTTTTACATTTATTTATTCACAATTCTCATTCATTTCTTACTAGTGCTCAAGAAAATTTCATTTTGGGGCCTCCCTGGTGGCACAGGGCTTAAAGACACAGCACCATCAATCTATCACCACTGCAACATGAGTTTAATCCTGGCCAAGGAGCTAAACCACATGGCTCAGCAGACCTCTCAGGTCTCACCTATTGCTCCCCTGGGCAGTGTATTTCAGTATATCTGCCTGTTCTGCTCCCCTCTCTGTCTCTGGTGAATCCTCTCACCCCTCACACCTCTGATCTATAGCTCTTGTATGTATAAATAAATCTTTTAAAAAAATTTCATTTTGTAAGTCTGTCTTGTCTAAAAGGATTATTTGAATTCTTAAAACACTCCTAAATAAAAAAGATTAGCCATCAAAAAGCTTGTGCAATGCTGATGCCTAAATCCCACCCTGCTGGCAAACTCCTCTTTAGAATTTCTAAAGTGATGGAGGAGAACTAAAAGACCCCCCTGCCCTGACTCAGCTATAATAAATTTCAAAGGCATGTTTAAAATATCTTGCTTACATACATATACATACACATGCATACATATATATATGAACAAACACTTCTCAACTATTCTAGAGTTAAAGGAAAACTGATCAAATTAATATATCTAGTCCATAATGAGATTCATTACCTATTGCTTCTAGTGTTACAAATCACACTGTCAAAATGAAATCAAGAAATTATCAATTGCAATTGGCGTGGACTCTACAATAATCTTTTTTTGCTTTGATATCAAATTTATTTTGAAACTTTTTATTAAGGCAATATTGCATTATTATATAAGCTTCAGGTGTGCATCTTTATAAACCTCTGTATTACTACATTAAGTTCACCACTAAAAGTCCAATTTTTTAAAAAAGTCCAATTTTATCCTATAATGAATCTTTAAATCCACAAAGTTATTGAAATATATACTTAACACCTGAAGAACTATCAATAACCGTCTTTGTGGTGATGAGGGACTCTAACTTTAGTATCTAAACTATTCTCAGCAATACAAATTTACATAGTTACTTGAATTGACTGCACTTTTAATGAGAATACTAAATCTGTGGCAATAAACAGAGGCTGAAAATTGAAAACTAGCTGAGATCCAAAGGGACTGAGTTTAGAGACAAACCAGTTCAGACTTGGATGGTCATCTACACAGTGTACCTTAGAGTATGTGATTCCATTTAGGATGCTCAATGTGAAAGATCTCAGTACCCCCTTAAATAAAATACAAATAGAAATACAAATAGAAAATAGAAATAGAAAACAAGTGTGAAAACAACTGTTTATACCAATACCCTGTAGTCACAATTAAGGAGGCAAGGAGAGCAGATTCTGCTTCTTTAATAGGAAGTGTTTTTGAAGCTACATTTCTTTTAAGGGTGACCTCCAGTGACTTTTCATTGTACCTCAGCTTAGTATATTATTTATACTACAATTCACTTATATAAGCAAATCATTTAGCACAGGTCATTTATAATTTCTTAGCAAAATGGTGTCTTTAATTAGTGTGTTGCAGGGCCCAAGATTTTGATTTCATATAATATCTTGTTTTAGTTAATTCTTTGAGGCTGTCAAGTTAAACTAAAAGTGTGTCTGAAACAGGGCAGAATGTGCATAAAGAAAACTAGAACTCATTTTTAGAAACATCTCAGGCTATATGGCACTAAATGAGCTATACTAAACGATAGCCCAGGGTTTACAGGGATGAAAACAGGCGAAGCTAACTTCATTTGTCAGGCTTTTCACCTCGGGGCAATCTTCCTGGTGAAGGCAGAGTTGGGTCTCAGAAAGCTAAGTCTAGATTCCCAGTAGCAAGGTCAGTTTCTGGACTTTCTTCAAATGCTCACTACTCCCCACAACCAGAATTAAAAAAATAAATAAATAAATAAATAAATGTCTCCAGGGGCTGGAATGAGAGGGGAGGGCAAGGGAGATTTTCTTAAAAGCTCTCAAAGAAAGAAAATCCTGTGATGGTCATTTCAATCTGAATACAACTTCTAAAACTTTTTTTTTTTCCCCCCCAGGTAAAATGCCTTGAGGTCGGCTGAATCAATCTGGCAAAGCATCTCTAGGTGAGAATCTGTGTGCTAGTCCAGAAGGGAGAGCTGAATGTAGCTTCAATCAACAAAATCAGAAACACAACCAGTCACAATATGCAAGCATGTACCTTGCAAAAGAACCAGGGTGGCAGGCTATGTTTTTTTCCTACCGTTTGAGGGGTCTGCACTTTTCCGGAGCAGTCAAATCTGCCTGGTGGGCTCTGCTGCGGAGCCCGCCCTGGCAGCGCCAAGGTCTGGTCTCGAATTCCGCAGAGCGCCAACTGCAAACATCTGCGCTAATGCAGGACGCAGCCCGGTCAGCCAGCGGTTTCCTTTCCTGACATAACCCTACAAAATGCTTGTATAGTAAAAAGATATAAATGACCACAGTACCATGCAGTCCTCTCCTGATCGCAAACAGTTCTCTAGCTGTTTTCTCTGCGCGTCTCGTCTGAGTATTCTCATGCTAATTTGAGCTTTCGAACTTGAGTTTTGCAAAGAATATTTAAAACAACAGTACAGATTCAGCTCACCTACAAAAAGTCAAAACATGCTTTTGAATATTTTAGATTGACAAGAGGATAAACCGTGGTAAACCATCCTATCTTAGCGCTGGGACTTTGCAATATATTTTTAAATGTCTTATTTTCAGAAACATGCCACGACTTCATCTGCAAATACCAATTAATAGTTAAAAACGCAAATTCTAGGTTGTCAATATAAGTTTTATAAGATTGTACTCACACATATCCCCTGCTACTACTGTATTCCAGGGCTGAACAGACAAAAGAAAGAGCATCCTGAAAAGGTCTCCAGCGACAGGGTCCATGTTCACATTCGCCGGGGCTCCCTCATGCCCAAACCCAAGGAGCGCAGGCAGCCGTTCGCGCGGGGTCTTCGGTCCCGGCGCTCTCGAGGTCGGCGCTTCCAACTCCCAGCCCCGCTCCTCCGCGCAGCTGCCGGCGGGGCGCTCTCACCTGGAGCCACACCCACCCTCGCCCCCCGCGGCCGCCCAGTGCGGGCTCGCGAGAGCCCCGGGCGCCCCTGGAGGCGGCGCGCGGAAGTGCGAGTCAGATGGCCAAAGGGCTGGGCTCCACCGGATGCTGGCCAGGTAGCCTGGTCCGCGGGCCAGGCCCCTGGCACCTGGGATCTCTCACTCTCAATGGCAGAGCACTTCAATGGACTTTAGTCCGAGGAAGCCAAGCAATGACCACCGACATTGTGTTGAGGATTAATTAGCTCTAGTACTAGTAAAATTGTCGTTTCTTTTCCAGTAAAGGAAGAAGTTAAGGGCCTCCTTGGTGGTGCAAGGTGTTAAGTCTCAACACTGTCAACAGCCACTGCAGCAACAGTTCGATCCCCAGACAGGGAGATAATCCACATGGTGAAGCAGACCTCTTCTGTCTTACCCGCTGCTCCCCTCAGCAGTGTATTTCAGTCAGTCTGCCTGTCCTGCTCCCTACTCTGTCTCTGGTGAGTCCTCTTACCACCCCGTGACTCTGGCCTACACCTCATTTCCTATATGTGTAAATAAATCAAAAAATCTTTAAAAAAATGGAAGAAGTTAAGACAAAAATTCAGCTCTGAAGAAAATATTTACATGCATTGAAAACGTTTGTAAAGAAGACTGTGTTTGTTTTCTCCACTTATATTAAAACACTAATGAGCATTGCTATGATAATCATTATCATTTAACTATATATATGTGTATGTATGTATGTCTTTGCTTATCTAGTCATCCAGTTGCACACCTTAAACTTCCGAACTCTATATATTCAATTATACCTCAATAAATGTGGAAAAAATAAAATAATTTTTTTAAAAGTTGAAAAAACACCCCACTGAGCTACAATGTCACCATATTATTATGCATATTCATTCATACTTGTATATGAATCAGCATATTTATAAATCTATAAATTTAGGTATCCTGGGAGAAGTTATTTTATTTATTTTATTCCGAATACCATAATAGAGTGAATGACCTTATACTAAGGAGGTGAATTGAATTCACCTTTCCACTCAAATTCTAATTGATGAATGAAGTTGTAAAACAACTTATATCTCCTATGAGTATTGTAAAAAGTAGGCACCACTGCAGCCATTTTAGAATGGGACCAGAGAAAGCCACCCAAGAAAAACCTTTTACTAGACCCTTGTAAATTAAGCCAAACTGCCAACATTTCAATAGGTCAGCAAAACAATGAGAATATCCTCTTTGAAAGGACTGATAAAAAGAACTTTCTTTACACTACAATGTAAAAGATTTATTAACGGTGGCAAGCCATTGGCATGGAAACAGGTGGTCCACCAAGACATCAGCACAACCTCAGAGTCTCTTGCTCTGACTTCAATAGGGTGAGCGGTCATGCAGGTCTTTCATGATGTGCACAATGGAATCAAATTTCTGTCTGAGGAGCTGATTCTGCCCCACACCTTTGTGACCTGAGCCAACCTCATGGACTGTACATGGTGTGTGTCCATGATGGCAGCACAGCATTGGCTGGGTGGGAGATATACCAGCCTGAACAACCAATCTGTCTGATCTCAGATGCCAAGCAGGGTGGAACCTGATCTCTACTTAGAAGAGAGAGAAATAGAACTCTAATCTTACTTTGGGATCCTAACATCTGACCTTTTTACCTCCACCTGACTATTTCCTCATTCATTATTTCATCCTCCATTACCTCATTCTTCTTTTCCCCCATAAAAAACAAAAAGAAAAACAACTTGACTTCTGTCTCTCTTCAGAACACAATTTTGGTTTCTAGCTAAATTTGTACTCCTAGAATTGCAAGCCTTTGATCCTCAATAAACTCTTGATTACCCCTCAATTCAGTCCTTAATTTTTAGGTTAATGGTTATTTGTGTTGCTTTCCACTCAAATTCTTTAATAGCAATTCCCAAAAGGAACATACTAGAAAAATTATGGCATCTAGTTCCAAAGAACATGGAAGTCCTAAAATAGAGGCACTTGTGCTAAATAAACCAAGACTGAATCACTAACCTAGCATTCTAACAGGGTGGTTCCCAGCGATAGGGGAGGCTCTTGCCCCACCAAGAGAGGGTAGAGCTGAGCAGGGAAGAGAAGAAGCTAGAGAGAAGACAGAGAAGGGAAAAGAAGTACGGAGAGCCAGAGAGAGTCCTAGAGGAGGCACGTGGAGCAGAGAGAGACATGTGGTGAAGCTTTGCTTGCTTTTTTTGTCCTGGACTGGTTGAAACAGATGTGGATGGGTGACCCTTGGGGAGTTTGACAATGGCTACTTTTATCTTGATTTTGATTTTCCTCTTTTCCTTCCAGATTTGTCTGGCCTCTTCTGCCCCTTTCCTATAGGTCTTTGCCAGAAAGTGCTTTAGACATGTGGCAGGCTTTCAGTCCTTAGCGGCCCTGCTTTGAGCCAAACTTATTTGGCTGGGCATTTACCCAAGAGAGGATGGGTAATATTGGGTGTTTTATTGGAAACTATTTTAACTCTATTCTTTCTGCATTGCACAACTCTATTCTTTATCTAGTGTATACTAATTTTCTCTCTGTTGCATACTAATTGTATTAAAGTTTTTTTTTTCCTTTAAAGATCTTATTGCACTAGAGCCTATTTTGTCTTGATGTAGCTTATGTCAGACCCCATTTAGAGCAGAAAAGCTTTTGAGTCCCCAGGGTATCCCTCATTCTGCCCTGTAACACCAGCACCTAACTCTAATTTCTAATTTTTAAAGCAAATATATGTTAATGATTTACATTAAGGCCCCAATATTTTTTAAAACAACCTGTATATCAGGCACATAGAGTGTGTTTTTGCATGTTTGTGTGGGTGTAACTTAAATAAAAGATCATACCATTCCTTTGAAGTAAATATTACCATGCCCAATTAACAATAGTTAAGATGACCTCAGAAATGTTAATGGACTTATCCAGAATCACACAGCAAACCAAGTTTGGAAGTCAGTCATGTGGTCAGTTAATATCAGGATGATTCCTGAGGCATGGCTATGAAAGAATTCATCAGAGACAATGGAGAACTGAAAAGGTGGATTTATTGAAATACGCTGCTAAGAGAAGCAGCGGATGAGATGGGAGAAGTCTGTGCGCCACAAAGCACTTGGGGTTCTCGTTGAGAACCTGTTTTTTATGACTGGATGAGTCAGTTTGGGCTAGTTATTTTCTTGGATGTCTGGTCTTCAGCATTGCCCCTTGACACAGAATATATCCTGGCCCCTATTCCCCATTCAGGGTCAAGGTGATCAGTCTTATAGCCTAGTCCCCACACAACCTTATCAAGTCCCTTTATCTGTTCATGCCTCCCAAACCTTCCTGCTGGGCAAGGAGCAGGAGCTTAGTGTTTAACCTTATTAAATGGTATCTGAGAGGTCAGCTGAGTGGTACAACCCCTTCTTACTAGGCCTCAGGATCTCAACAGAAAGCTGTCACCCTGTGAATTCAATTCTTCAAAGACTGTTTAAAATGAGTTTGTAGGCACCTTGATAATTGATGCCAATAAAACCAAAAGGGCAACATATGTAGATTTCTTGAGCAGCATTAAGGACGGGTTTTTACAACTCAAAGGAGAGGCCCAGCACAGAAGAGACAAGACTCTGGGCAGATATCCCCTTGGGCAGTGCAGGAACATGAGTGTGAGGAGAGCATGATGTGCCAAGACAAGGAGAGGCCCTGAGTAAGGAAAGTTAAAGAAAATGGCCAAAGCAGAGTTGCTAGTGGATGGCGATATGGTTCCTAGTTTACCCTGTTCTTTAGCTATCTCCTTTAGTAGGGTACTCAATGGGTCTGTTTTTCAATTTCCTTATTTGTAAAATGAGGATGATACTAGACAGTCAAAAGGCAGTTATGAAATTACAGGTTAAAACCCCCTAAGGGGGGCCTCCCTGGTGGCGCAGAAGTTGAGTGCTGGGCTGCGAAGCTGCCGGCAGCCTCTGCAGCGCCAGTTCGATCCTTGGCCACCGTCAAGGGTCCCACATGGTGCACAGACCTCTCCTGCCGCACCCGCTGCTTCCCTCCGCAGTGTCCTCCTGTTCTGCTCCCTGCTCTGGCTCTGGTGAATTCTCTCACCCTCCCACACTTCTGACTATATCCAGTGCTTGCATAAATAAATAAATAAATAAATCTTTTTTAAAAATTAAAAAAAAATAAAGCCCCCCAAGGGCAGGAACCAATTGAGCACTTTAGGATGTTCAGGCCACAGACCCACCTTGGAAGCTGGTACCAGCCAAGAGATTCCAGGCAGCAACTTAAATACCTGTAGCCTCAGCTTACTCATAAATACTAGTATTCTAACACAAGGACAGTTACTTTGGGCTGGCCATCTATGGGTGTAAAGTGGTCAACCATGTTGGGCACCAAACTGTTACAGGGCAACCCTGATATGAAATGGGTTGCCTGACTATGGGTCCTCCTCACCTGCATGCTTAAAAGGGACTTACAATGATACTCAATTGCAGTTAGACACAAAAAGGGTAAAAAGGGGTTTATTTATGAAAAGAGGGAAATGAAGAAATGAATAACTCAGGGAGAGAGAGAGGAAGATAAATTGGTGAATGTGCCCTATCAGTTCTGCTGAGCTGGACCCCCGATAGCATGCTGAAAGCAGGCAAAAAACCAAAAGACCCCAAAGCCCACATGCCCAGTTATATATAAAACCTGGCAGCTTAACTCTACCTCACTTCCCAGCAAATCTTTCTTCAGTGGTGATAACATTATGGGATTTGTAGTCCTTGGGGTCTTAGATCTCTTTGGTCTGGGGTGAGTGAGGGTGGGGTCCATAAAACCTCTTTGTGAAGTTTGTTCAGGACATCCTTTCCTCCCAACACCACCACCTAGGAATGGTTTCAGGATTAAAGGAGAATGTATAAGTCATGTCCTTACATCACACCAGTGCAAGAAAGGACACCAGGTTGGTTAGATATGATGCTGGAACTC